ACCAGAATTATGATAATGCCAAAACAGACAATGGCTTCTTGAGAAATACAGTAACACAGACAAAGCTTTTCAGGAATATACATACTGAATTGTTGAATAATACACTGCAGCCTTAGTTAGGAGTGCAATTTTCGAACAGCTTCAATACCCAGCAGACAAAGAATTATAGCAGAAAGAGTCTGCTATATAAAGTTCTGCAGAATTTAAAGTAAATCCTCCCCCGGTTTAATATCAAAAAAGCACAGTTAAACTACTAAGTTCAACAGTACCACTGACATCACCCATTTTATTACAAGCTGCTTTTAAGTTGGTAGTATTCCCCTTGTATATTTAATGGATCAAGTACAGACCCGACGCTCAGCCTACGCTACAGTTCAAAACAACTCAAGTTATTAGATTCTACCTCAATAGGAAACATGGGAGAAAATGAGCATTGGGGAACCTACATAAGCACAAAAAGTGTAATTTTATTTCCTTATAGAACTGCAAAAAGACAAAACAGAGAAGGCTCATCTCTTGGGTGATTACATGATCATTTCTGAAGTCACTACAAAGTGCTGCAACTTGATAAATGCCTCATATCAAGCACTCTTAAGAATATAATTTTAAGTTATTCTAAAAGAGAAATAAATTCTAATTTCATGCTGCAACTGGGGAAAGACAGAGGGAACCTTAAAACTGTCAGCATTCTAGAGAGCCGACAGACATCTGCCATTGAAAGAATTATTTAAGTGTAATGCTGTGGGATACAGATAATGCCTTTAGGCAATGACTATGGAACCACATATTGCACAATCAAACATCCATAACGGGAGAAGGTCTAGCTTTCAATCAACTAATAACCAATTCAGGAATGGTACTAGTATTAGAATGACACAGTACTAAGACAAATCAAAACACTTTTTTAAATAACTAAAAAAAAATAATTACATCAATGGAGAAGCAAGAATTAATCTAATTATCAGAGGAAGAAAGTACTCATTAGAAGCTCAGCCAGTCTCACAACAGCAGCACCCAATGCATTTAAGAGGCTGACACATGGAAAACTATATTTTTAAGTGAGATGCTTATTCCATGCTACTATGAAATGGAGAGTAATTCTGACTGTGAGGATGCAATTACAGAAGTCTAGAGAGGAACGCTGATGAAATGCTGCAGTACACCCACCACACTTCTCCATCACAATAAACTAGAATGCTCTTCAAATGCTTACCCCAAGCAAGGTGAAATCCCTTTCAGAAATATTTTCTTGGTTAAACTCTCTCACTCAGATATCCAAGGCCTCTAACCACAAAAAGACCTCAGAAATACATCAAAGTGAAAAGATGTTTTCAGCAGTTCCAGATCATTTCAGCTGAAACATAAATCAGAACTTATACAAAGATCAGTCAAATTTGGGAAATTTCAATGCAGGGCGTTAGACATCAGATTTGCATTGCACTACTTATTTTAAGGGACATTCACCTTGTTATAAGCAAGTTTCAACTGAGAGGAATTCCTTTGTTCTTGAGTTCCACATAGTCCACCATGGTCCATTTTTTAGGGAAATTATTTCTACTGAAATGCAAAAAATACTCACTGTCTCTCCTTCCCTCTTCTGGCTTCTGATGAAGAGGTTTCCAAGAAAACTTTAAACCACATAGACTAAAATAAATTATTTTTCAACTCAGAAAACCACAGTTCCTACTAAAGCACGCTGAGGAGAATACCACCATGCCAAAAACAAGCTCCTCTTTATCGGCTCCATCAGTTCCTCCTTGGATATGCATGATTTTTTAACCTTTGAGAAATTATTTGCACTCTCCTTTTGGCTTTTTGCAAAGTATAACTTATTAACTAACCCACATCACACTGAAAACTATTGTATTTTTTCCAAGAACCTATGTTAACTACAGGAATACTTTCCATGTGCAGTCTTGAGTTGTAATGAGATTACAACGACATTCCCCATTTACAAAAAGAAAGGATTTTCTGGCTCAAGATCAGTAACAAAGGATGAAAATAAAGCTCAGCATACGCTGTGCTCCACAGCTGCAGTATTTGCTCAGAGTAGGCAATGAATACAGATGTACTGCACCACAACTGGTGAAAACACCACAACTGAGCAAGACTAAAGCACTCTCAACCCAAGTGAGAGCTATATAGGTGCATGCACATGACATTCTCTATGTTATATCCAAGATATCCCTACTACCAATTGCCCTAAGATGACACCAAACAAAAAGAGATGTGACTGCCTCAGGACAGGTAGCATGCTCTTAAATCTCCCTATTAATTCTCTGATCTTTATTGAATCCAGAAAATCTCTTGGAAATCAGTAAACAATACATCAATAATTGTGACTTATTTGCACATTCCCAAGAAATGGGAAAAAATTCCCAAAGACAGCAGTGCATTTTTTGCAGAAGGCTGAGACAACGATCAACCAGAGCTCACGTTTTCACATATTTTTAACAACTTCCAAAACCAAGAGGCAATGCATTCATTCAAAATTGAGGTGACAAGAACAGCAGTAAAAAATACGATCAGGGACAATCAAGTGTGCCAAGAACATGTAGAGGAATAAAGAGCCAAGATCACAGCAAAGACATTGAGATGACTATCAGATAATGGCATGAGTCAACGAGCACTTTGGCTCCATAAGTGGAGTCAATTTTTAGCTAAGGCCAAATGCATTGTTAAACTTGATATAAAGCACAAGTTTTGCCCCTGTGAGAAGTCTTTACTAGAAGAGATGTGCTGAAATACACTGAACATGTATTGAGGTCCAAAACACCAGTTCCTGCAAATACGCTGGAACTAATTTTATGAGGGAGGTTGGAGGGGTAATGAAGAGATTTTTCTGGTCCCCCAACAGATCAGAGAAATCCCTTGTTCAGTGTCTAAACAGAGAAGTCTGTTTAATTACAGTAAATCCTATAAAACTGATCTTCCTCATAAATGGCTGAAGTGACCAACTCCAAAAGGCTATAGAAGACATAATGAATTCAGAGTTTAATTAGGACACACTGTTAGCTAACTATAATCTATTAATTAGCATTCTTAGTTTTTACAGCTCAGTGCAATAATACCCTTTTACTTTTAAATTGCACCCTTCTTTTTTTGGACCAAAGTTAAACAATTCTACCAGTATGGTAGTAATTACAGTGATTGCCTAGAGAACAGCGGCCTGGAAATATCTGTAAATGTTTAATTAGGGGATACAGGAAAGACAAAGAAAAAAAAGAAAGAAAAAAAAACCAGATAGGAGTCACTGCTCTCCAATCTATACATATTTAGTAACTGCTTAATCCATTGTAAACCATACATTCATTACATTTTTCTTGCAAGTCTTCCACAGCATCCTCAAATGTCAAAACTGATTTCAGAAAAAGTGTTATATTCTAAGAAATTCTCTTCAACATGAAAACAGAACTTAAAAATTAAAAGAAATTAAGAATTAAAATACTTACCTGCAGCTAAAATACAAAGATCATCAGAAAGTTGAGTGAATGGTATTCCATGTATTCATTATACTGGTACTGTACCACTTTAAAATTTTCACTGGATTACACCTTCTAAGGAAATCCTACTTTTGTAATAAAAATTATTTAACTTTAGGTTTTCTTCATTCCAAAAAAAACATATGAAAAGGAATATGAAATATTGCACACATTTACAAATCTCATGTTGTGATATTAACATTCCTTAAGAACACAGCTATAAAACTTCATGACAAGTTCATTAAATTATTTCACACTAACTCAGGACAAGCAACTTACTTTCTTCAACTCAGTTCTTTGAAAAGTGAAAAGAAAATCTCAGATAGCTTCAGTGTAGCAGATTATCACTAACCAAAAGGAATCTACTATTTAAGAAAGGTCACCTGAAAGTAGAGTATAACATGTCGAGTACTACCACCACTATTTTTTTCCTCCAACACTTTCCCTCTCCCCTCCACCTTCTAAAGCAAATCTTTAAAAAAAAAAAAAAAAAAAGCAGCGCTGCCTAAAATAGCAAGTATACCTTAAGAGTATCAAGAACATGATCATGCTTAAATTATGGAAACTAAGCTGACTTACATTTCAGAAAACTTTTCGATTTGGATGCTGGGCTTGTTTTCTGTAAGAGCAGTGAAGTTTCTTACCAGAAAGCCCGGAGAGATGCCTAACTCGCATTTGGCCAGAAACAACTAAACAGGAGGAGACTCACTCAGAGACAAGCTTCAGGATTAAGCTAGCAAGAAGGTCTAGGTGGGAAAATTTTAAAAAAACCTTTTAATAAGTAGAGCTGACTATAAAGAGACCTCAATTTTAATCCACCTCTCAGTTTTATTCTAATTTAGGGATGCATTTAAGAGGGACAAGACAAAAGAACAAGACGTCCAAGACACTCTGTTCTTCTGTCTATTCTCTAACTAGCCAGATTACTACAAAAAAACTTGTAGGGTGCTTTATGATAGTGGCATAACAAGATATGCACAGCTTATGACAAAAAGAATAGATAAGCAGGTATTAAACAGTGTTACTTAAAAGTAGCCAAGAACACAATTTATATCTGTTTGTGAAAACTGCAGGTCTGGAGGTTTTAACTGGAGCTCTAAAATAAGACCAGTGACGTGAACTCTGTTTAACTGTCAACATTCAGAAACAGTTCAGTTGTATTTGGGGTCAGCAGTTAGCACATTCTGCATCTCAGAGAATGCTTCAAGAGGTAAGCACAATAGAAATATTAATTATGAACAGGGTAAAATACTTCCAAAAGGAAACCAAGTGATTAGCATCAGTTCTAGGAAAAATACCACATGAGACACAAGGAGAAATGAGCACTCAAGAAGTGGCTTACAAGTCTGACAAGAAACATTTAAAAAGAGGCTTGCAAGTTGAAAACACATCTTATTCTTACCAATTACCTGGGAAAAGCACCAGTATAATTTAGCTGCTTAAATGTGACATGCAAATTTATTAAACTCATTTAATCATGCTACTGCACTAACACAACAGTGACATTAGATGACAAACCTGGTTTTCTTCTTGCAAAACTCTATATTGTTCCTTCCAAATGGTGATTTTTGAAGCTTCATCTTTCCTCAGAGCTCTCTCCTTTTTTAGTTCAGGACTCCAGAAGGTCTTGATACTGTTCATGGAAGAACTCAGCTTGCTTTCTTTCACCTCCACATCCTTGCGAAGCAGATCGTTTTCCCTTAATACTTCTTTGAGTTGTGTCTGCAGATCCATTATTGTGTTATCCCTGGCCTGGCGCAGTGAGTGAGGCACAGTGGATGCCATACTCACTGGAGGGAGGTGGTGCTCTCCAAATGCAATAGTATCACTGGCAACTCCACTACTGGCAATGTTAGGGCTGCTACCCATTGCAGTCATCCTAACACCGTAAGGCAGCCGCCCACCAGATCGGCCCAAAGTCATGGTGCTTTTTGGGGTGTCTGCACCCACGTTCTCATGGTCACTCAGATACATAGGGCCAGACGTAGCATAGGCAGCATTTAAGGACTGAATATTTTCCATTGAAAGGGTTTTCCCACTGCCACCCCCAGTACTACTCCCAGAACTGCCTCCTGTGCTGTTGGTTCGACGATGGCCCAAGCGTGGTGACCGTGGCAGCCTTGGTGAACGCCCTGGACTCTGGTTGCTTGGCTCAACCTTACCGACTGACCGAGCACTTCCATACATGGTTAAGCTGGTGGTGTGAGGCAATTAGGCATAAATCAGGAATGAGAGAAATCCTGTTAAGTTCTTCAATGGTTGTAAGTCAGCTTAAGGCCAATCACAACTTATAATAGACCCAGTTGTCCATCTTTGAAGTCATGTGCTCACGATGTTCAGGACCATATCTGTATCAATAAAAATAACATATTAAACACCTAGTTTATTACAAAATATTTTGTCCCACATTAGAATAAAATGTATTCTACTACCTTTACACTTCTCCAGCATCTTTTCAATTCCCACTCACAAAAAAGCAATCCTTTATTTAACCGCTAATATTTAAACTCAAAAAGGAACTTCTATCCTTGTCCTTCTGTTCTTATATCATCACAGTAGAGAGATATAAAATAAAGAACCCATCAATTTTCAAGCCATAATTTTGTTGGTCATGACCTGAACTCTACAAAAGTAGTCTAACTTTTCTTCCTATTTCTAATTGGCCCTAATTCTTTACCCATTACCTTTCTAAGAGAGACAATCAAAACATAAAGCCTGTTCAGTAGTGGGTTGGGGTTTTTTCCTTCAAGCACTGCTAGCTTCCATAGGACACAGTTTCTAAACCCTGTTGCAGTGAAAATAATCCTGCAAATAGGAAGGTAGGATGGATTGAAACAATTTGGATCATGATCTCGACTAGCAGGTCCCTTTAGTGTTGCTGTCAGCCCTCCTTCAAATTCAGAAGTCAGAACCAAAACTAAGACGACTCACGAAATCATTACTGACTACAAAGCTTAAGCAAGTATAGATACAACTCTGAAGGAACAGCAATGGGACCAATGACATTAAGAGGAACACGAGAATCACACCTGCACTGACAACTGATTCCAGTCTCTTACTTTCTCTCTAACTGGGATTCAGCCCTAAACATGACTTAAATCTTTGTTCAGGTTAAGCAAAGATTTCAATCAAAATATACTTCTCATTAACTAGCTCATATTAATGCCATTAAATATTATCATTCCAACAGCAGGGACCTCTTACAACACAGAAGAATGTGACATCATCATGTCACAGTTCCTCCTCCCCTCTACTTTTTCTTTAAACATGGATTCTGGTAGCATATGCAATAAAATTCCTTATTTTTGCACTGAAACATTATGTTCTCCAAGTGGTAGCAAGTAACTCTTTAGTACAGGGGCACTGGGCTGAGACCACTTATTAGTCAAGATCTAGCAGAGGAGCAAAAAACAGGGATGAAATCCACTCTTGTGACTGAACTACCGCTCTGTGGAACTACTCTTACTTTACAGTTATCACTTTTTTTTCTATTTTTCCAGTGTAAACTATTTCAAGTCACCGTTGGGCTCAACTGAAATCAAAACTAGAACACTGAAACGTTCCTGGTTCTCCCCATTAGATGAAAGAATACCAGACAGTGCCCAAAGAGCAGCAGCATCTTATGTATCCCAAAATCTTTCTTTTCACACCAGCTTTCATCTAGCCTCACCTTCTGCTTGGAAGTTACGTTTGCCCGATATTAGGAATCAATTTTTCCAAACCCTATGCCATGTTTGTGAGATAGTAATTGGGCAAGCAGAAGAAAGATTAGGCTTAAAAGAGGAATATAATTACAAAAGAAATTGTAGAAATAGTAAAAGTTAGTGGAAGGAAAGAGACCAAATAATAATATTTAAAAAATACTGGAAAAGAGTAGAAAGAAAAAAGTAAAAGCCTAGTGAAGAAAAGATACATTGTTTTTCCTTTCAGAAAAAAGTTAGTATAGGAAAAGATGCCCCAAGAAATAGTGTTAAAATGTTCAGTTTCACCCTGTGTCAAATGGAAAATAAGATCAGAGTAAGCCAGCATTTTTTCATTTTCACACTATTTCATAGAAGATACAATAGCATGAGTAATTTTACAAAGCTTATGGAAGCTGATACTGTTTCATGAGCAGTCCTCAAGAAGTTCAAGTGCTCACTCTTTCTGTCTCTCATTTTCTCTTTTATTTAAATAACAACCAAACCTAGCAACAACATTGCTACAGAATTTTTTAACACACATATCTAAAGGAAAATAGGCCAAGGAAAGTTAGCCAGTGGCATTAATAATTGAAGTTAGCTACCAAAACACCACCTATAGATTTATTTTTTTAATACAAGTTACAGATAAGACATTTCTTCTATTTCAGCTACATGCCCTTATGTAAAACAGTACAGAAATATAGACTATGCAACAAAGTCTACAGTGTTCCACTGGAGTTACTTCAATAAGCAAGACACTGTGCCCCAGATCTGGAAGAAAAACACTTCTTCCAAATAGAAAGGCTCCTTCAGAGTAATCTCACTGTTTGAGATATCAAAATGCTACAAATGCTGCTGGGACACCAGTTGAGAACTCAAAACAAGCCAGATAGGATTTCTTAGACACTACATCAGGTACATTCAACTGAGCGCTTGCATTCATGAGGATTCTCTTGAAAATTAATTTAAGTCACAGCACTTAATTAATTTGCTAGAAACTCACCACAGTAAATCAGTGCAAACACTCATTCACTTAACAGCTTTAAATGAGTTTAACTTGAACCAAAAGATTAGACGTGTTTTATTCTGTGTGTTTTAGTTAAAGCACTTTCCCTCAAAAACATTAAGTTTAAATGTTGCTAGAAGTACATTAAAGAGGCATTCTCAAGTATCACCTAGTAAAGTGCTTAACAACATCCAAGAAGAGCACAAAAGATTTTAGGTCATTTCTAATGAGTTAATCACCCCCACAATAGCAAAGCATCATTTAAACTCCCGGAATTGCTTTCTCCTTGCTTTAGCTAACATTTTGTTAAACTATTAACAGCCTTTCAAAGAATGAAAGCGTCTGATGTCCACGACAGAAAAGTAGCGTCCCAGGCAGCTGCCAGGAGCTGACACCGCAGCAGATGCTGCGCAGTAGCCATCTCCTAATATACCAGGGCAGGCAGGTTAGCTCTCATCCACCTAACTGGACACACCAGCCCTATGCTAATTCAGCTCTAAGCTTTGTTCCACAGGTAGGCACCATCCCCTCTGTTACTCTAGAAAAATCAAATAATTCAAGCTATGAAAGCCAACTGCTAGAATTAGCTGTCAATTAGGGTTACAGGAAGGATTCCTGGACTGGGCACATGTGAAACTCAGGGAGAACAACTCTGACATCACTGCCACGTGTTACACTGCATTCACTTTTCAAAAGCAAAACTAAACAAGAGCGGTGTATTAAGAAAAGAAAAAAGTCTTTAGAAACAAGCACATGTAACCCTCCAGTATTTCTCTTGAAATGAGAAGTTCCATTACACCATCGTTAGACTTTGAAATTGTGAATATTCCAAATATTAACTAAATACACTCTTCCAACCATGCAGCCAGTTTCAGTATTTTCATTGACACAGAGATTTGTTGCGGTTCAAGAGAAAAAACCCAACATGTTACAAGATAAATCTTAACTTTTTTATTTTTTCCCCTTGTAGCATTTATCACTGGCCATTTCACTTTGTTGCTATTAGGAATCCAAAAGCAGGTACTAAGACAATTCACACTAGAAAAAAAATCTTTTGTCCTGGAAACAGTGAAGTGAAAGAAGTGACAGAAACACCTTTTCTCATTTGTAATACCAATTCATTGGGAAGAAGAAAGAGTTCTAGTTTTCTTCCAGGAGTTCAAGCAAAATTATATGGAAGTTTTCTTTCACATAGCAACATAACCAGAAAAGTTAAAGTTTTTTCAGTATTCTGACCCACACTAGCATTTTACTAGGACTGTCAGAAGTACAGTCTCTTATAGAAGCATTTAGGTTGGAAAAGACCCTTAAGATCATCAAGTCAAACCATAAACCTAACGCTGGCAAGTCTACCACTATGCCATGTCCCTAAGCACCACATCTATACATCTTTTAAATACTTCCAGGGATGGTGACTCAACCACTTCCCTGGGCAGCCTGTTCCAGTGCTTGACAACCCTTTCAGTGAAGACATTTCTCCTAATATCCAATCTAAACCTCGCCAGGTGCAACTTGAGGCCATTTCCTCTTGTCCTATCACTTGCCACTTGGGAGAAGAGACCAACACCCACCCCACTACAACCTCCTTTCAGGTAGTTATAGAGCACAATGAAGTCTCCCCTCAGCCTCCTTTTCTCCAGGCTAAACAACCTCAGTTCCCTCAGCTGCTCCCCATCAGACTCGTGCTCTAGACCCTTCACTAGCTTTGTTGCCGCCCTTTGGACATGCTCCAGCACCTCAATGTCTTTCTTGTAGTGAGGGGCCCAAAACTGAATAACAGTATTCAAGGTGCAGCCTCAGCAATGCTGAGAGTACAAGGGGACGATCACTTCCCTAGCCCTGCTGACTGCGCTATTTCTGATACAAGCCAGGATGCTGTTGGCCTTCTTGGCCATCTGGGCACACTGCTGGCTCATATTCAGCCAGCTATTGACCAACACCCCCAGGTCCTTTTCCGCCAGGCAGCTTTCGAACCACTCTTCTCCCAGCCTGTAGTGTTGCATGAGGTTGTTGTGATGCAAGTGCAGGACCTGACACTGAGCCCTGTTGACTCTCATGCAGTTGGCCTCAGCCCATGGATCCAGCCTGTCCAGATCCCTCTGTAGAGCCTTCCTACCCTCAAGCAGATCAACACTCCCACACAACTCGGTGTCATCTGCAAACTGACTGAGGGTGCACTCAATCCCCTCATCCAAATCATTGATAAAGATATTAAAGAGAACTGGCCCCAGTACTGGGGCCCTGGGGAACACCACTTGTGACCACCTGCCAACTGGATTTAACTCCATTCACCACAACTCTTTGGGCCCAGCCATCCAGCCAGTTTTTTACCCAGCGAAGTGTATGCTTGTCCAAGCCACGAGCAGCCAGTTTCTCCCCGAAAATGCTGTGGGAAACAGTGTCAAAGGCCTTACTAAAGTCCAGGTAGACAACATCTACAGCCTTTCCCTCATCCACTAAGCAGGTCACCATGTCATAGAAGGAGATCAGGTTAGTCAAGCACGACCTGCCTTTCATAAACGTGTGCAGACTGGGTCTCGTCACCTGGTTGTCCTGTACGTGCCACGTGATGACACTCAAGATGATCTACTCCATAACTTTTCCTGGAACCAAGGTCAGACTGACAGTTCCCCAGATCATCCTTCCAGGAAACCTATCC